ATGCATCTAGTAGCATGACATTTATTATGAATAAAGACTTCTGAATTCTGGTGCATTTGTGCATGCGGGGGTGATTATGTTACTGCTATGCGGTATATAGTTTTAGGTACTGGGGTCAGAGATAGGATGTCTACGGTGAATATTAGGCAATTTTAGGCTTTGGGATGGTAGTTTTTGTGCATTTTCTACACTTTCTGAAATTATGACAACAGATTCCACCCCATCTCGTCAAAAACTAATGCAAGGGGAGTACCCGATGCGTCAAAATCGGACGCAGAGGGAACCTTGGAAAAGCATCAATATGTGACGACTTGGGAGTGAGAATGGGTTGGTCTTATAAGCATGATTAAATAAAACTACATATTGCCCGTTGTGTATCGTACTAAAGTTCAAAACAAAAATGCTTGTACACTCTGTTAGAACTGTCCACTGGTTCATGATATATTTTGCAAACATTTAGACATACATGTACACACAAAAGCAAATACATCATTGTCTGCCACCAGATTAGATGGTCAGTATTTGTAAAATATACAAAGAGCAGAAAATAAAAATCACAAGCTGATTAAAATTAATAAAAGATGTCATGGTAATGATACTACCTTCTTCACAGACTTGTCAAACTAAGACAACAGCATGCACTTTCCTTTCTCAAAAAAATTTTCAAGGTCTTCTGCTAAGGCTTTTTTGAAATATTCTGGACTCACTGCAAGACTTTAGCCTTGTTCCTGAAGAGAAGTTGTCACAAAATAAAAATTGTTTAATGTGATGGCTGTTGTAATGGCAGATTTCTAATAAAAAATCAATTTGGGCTGAAATGTAACAAGCAGGTTAATAACATCTTTTGCAAATTGGGAAAGGACAATTTCACGGCACACGTTGGTGGAATGAGGTTGAATTAAGAGACACACTGCTTAATTTTGTGTCAGCCTATGAGCTTTAATGAGACATTTTCCTTAATGTTTTACCTTCTGCCAGCTGTCAGTGGGCTTAATAACCAACCATGATCTAAAATTGAATCCAGACTCTGAGCTATAATTGGTGGTTTGAATCATACACAAACCAAACAGGCCAACATTGTGCTTTGATGTTGTTTGGCTGCCACTTGATGTCAAGGCTGATTTGTTTCGACATTGCTGTTCTAGCAAGGGACTGATCAATGAGTAAATTAAAAAGAGAAAAAATAAACAAACATGATGCATTTTTTTGTGTTAGAGTAGTCATGAGTAGTTATCAGTAGCCCTCTCTAATCCCCATCCATCGTCCAAATAATTGCACTCTATCACTGATGCTGCTATGCCAGTCCACACATTTTATGTCCCTCCAGGTCAAACAAATGCCCCTCTCCATCTCTTTAATTCCTCCCTTCACAACCCACTCATCTGTTTGGTTGTGTTCATTCTCTTCACTTTGTTCTTTCGCTCTCTTGACTCTTTGCTTGACCTCTATGCATTTCCTGCTTGTTCACAGCCCTCCTTCTCTGCCCCATACTCTATGATGAAACCGCTCCATGACTAACAGGGCAATAGTGTGATGGATGGCCTAATGGGACGAGACGAAGCATTAAAACACTAATGCACAGGATGTTCAGAGGATTTCAGGGAGATCCACTTGAGAGTGAGACTGCATGTGTTTTTGTGTCAAATTGTGAGATTATTCATGTTTATGCCCTCACCCTTGAATGAGATTCAGTCTCTGTTAAGTGTTTATTTGTATGCACAGACAGATCGCATCTTCATGCCGTGCAAAACTTATATCTCATTGTTTTCTTGGGAGAATTGGATAGGCCCTGCTTTAAAAGATTACATAGCAATGATCATCCTTTCCTCTTTAACACATGTTATATGTAGTGTAGAAGTAAATCCCTCCATCTTTGCAAGGCGAAAATTTGCAGTCCACCCTTATCTCGTCTCAGTTGGAAGTAATGCGTTATGATGCAAAAATGATGAGGTGTGATATAAGATTTATTTCCTAACGGTCTCTCTGGTTGCATGTGTCTTATTCACTGGTCTCAAAGCTATTACCATTTGCATGTACGACAAGAGAACAATGTCAAGCTAATGCCTGGTCTCACAGGAGGAGGGGGCTTTTTAATCAGCAGAGAACAAGAATGGTTCATGTTCCTTTCAGACTTTCTGGGCGTTTTGGCCAATTCTATATAGTGCGAATTCACTACAAGTCAGGTCGGGGCACTTTTATTAAGCAGACATTTAAAATCTAAATGCCAGCCAGATATGTAATCATAAGGTCAAATAGGAAGACTGAAAAGTGTGTTGTAACAAGCATGCAGAGGAGTTATTATACTGTACTTAAACCTGAAATGCAGAACTTTTGGTTCTCAACTAGACAACTTGCTTTGTGGTTTATTTGAAGAACAGCTATTCAAAAGGTAATATCTAGGCTGCAGTGGTTGGAGATTACTGACTCAATATAGTGGATACATTTCAAGAAAATAAGCAAAGCTGTTATTGGAGTCTCATTTAATTCTGGGTGTTTGTGTCCAAGAAATCAGCAAGCAGTGCAGACATGTTTTAAATGTCCAGCTTTTGAAAACCACAACCATTTGTTTGGCTTGCAAAAACAGCTTTCTTGGCCATTTATGTTATTTGGTTGTCAACTATTTTTGTAGTTACCCATACTGGCTCCCTGCCTGACATTTTTGATTTAAACCAGAGTTCACTTTGGAAATTCAGACAGAATCCGATGGTCATTTGTTCATCACTAATTAAAGTCAGGCATGTTCAGTGATGGAACATAAATGAAGCTGGCACTGTGAAAACATAGGAGACATGGATAATTACTTAGTAGAGTTGATGTGGAGGACTACACTACACGTGTTGGGTTTAATGCAAAATTGACTTTTTTGATCTGTATGTGTGTATATACACTCACCGGCCACTTTATTAGGTACACCATGCTAGTAACGGGTTGGACCCCCTTTTGCCTTCAGAACTGCC